CTTTTTTCGACAAAACCGGTGATAACTCAAAGGCTATGTTATCATCGTCGGAACTCACTGCAAATAGATGCGCCATGCTCCACTTCTTCGATTAGGTCTATCACTAGACAAGTACACGCCTTGTGTGGCAACAAAATGCAAAAGTCTGTTTTTGGGGCAAATATAAACTTTTGAATTTTGTTGCGAAACTGGATAGAAAATGACACGATGATAATGCCAATCTAAGGTGCGAAGTCTCGCGCGTCATACTGTTACGATTTCCGAGTGACCGATGGCATAGTATTCGCGTTATTCTCGGTTTTGTCGAAAAAAGAATACCTACCACGCAGTTTGCAGAGGGCTGTACATCGACATTTGATGCAGCAGTGCTGCTTCGTCGCTGCTTCTGGAGGCTCCGATCCACGTTTCTCTGGTTCCAATGCGCCGTGGTGCCTGACTTAAGCCGTCATGTGTCTGTCTCAGACTGTCAGGTACCTCGTTTCACATATCTGTTCCCTCTCCGTTCACAGACCGATTCGGCGTCAACTGGTACCTGACCGGGGTCACGTCGTTCGGAGCGAGGAACTGCGGCACTCGGGAGGCCGTCTTCACGCGGGTGCACGAGTACTTGGACTGGATACGCAGCAACATCAGTTAAGTGTGCCCCCCACTGATGTTGACCGGGGGTTATAGAGAGGACTGTCAAGAATGTTCAGTTTTGCTACATATTATTATAAGTGGCAGAACATTGAAGTGGCGAGTGGCGGCAAGACAACTGGAAAGACCGATCACAAAAGTCAAAACGGAATTAGCACTTGCTGTGGCCGTAGGGCTGTTTTACGCTAGAAGTGTTTTAGCTAGCGCGCTTGCTTCTGTGCTGCAACTGACCGTGCTTGTAACATACGGATTGTTTATGATAAGATTTACATACACCTCGCCTCATAAGCGCATGTCAGAATGAACAATAAATACACGCTTTTTGGTGTATACCGCGTATAATCATGTATTTTACCAGTACATTGCACACACAAGGCACGCTAGCAAGGCCTAACTATGAGGTGGTGGAGATAAAATTTATGCGAGAACACACAGACGCTCGTTCGGTTCGTGACACATGGAGTCGGGTTCGTCCGTCCGCTCGGTAAAAGTATTTGATTAAAGCTGTGCACACGCGGTCACGGCAGTGGAAGAGGAGCATCTACCAGGACAGGGGCGAAGCAGAGGGGCGACACAGACCTACACAGTCCACACATACACGCACACAATCTCGCCCCGCGCGGCGGCCGGCCGCCCAGTGGAATGAGCGCCGCCTGTCGGCAAAAACATGAACTAGAGCCGCCGTGCGCGGCCGCGCCCGCCACCGTGCATTGCCGGGTGGCGGAGGGCGTTCAACCTCCACCGTTCCGGCTCACTCACACAGTGAGGGCGCCACATCACAGGAGGGACAGGGGACGCCGCGCGGCCGGCCACCCGGCGCTGTCACACGATCAACGAACCAGTAAAGCTCCGCAGCGCAGGCTCGCACACAGCTCGACCCGCGCTCTCCTGCACCCGTGTCATTCCGCTCCGACCAGTACTAGGCGGCCCCCAGCGCCACGCTGGTGAACCCCGACTCAGTTCGGCTCAAACGCCGCCATAAATAACTTCCTAACCTTCTCACAGACAGACAACAATCATCCCACAGCATTCGGGACATGATAATTGAATAATGGATACATTCTTCACGGACTCCATCGAGGAAGGGATGCGGCTACCAATTGATGAGACGGACTGGCACTTTATCTATGTATGTATAATATATATGTGTGCGTGTCGCTATCAAAATTTCGTACAAAAATATTTTGTACAGTGCGGCCGATTTGGGAAGGGCGGTCGTCCGTGGTGCACCTCCACGTTCCTCGTTAAGCAGCGTCCTCCGCCGGCGCCGACCGTCTAGTCCCTGACGCGCCCGGGCCGCCGCCGCCGCCGCCGCGCCAGCACACTATCACAAGATGAGCCGCCAGCTCGCGCGCGCCCCCTACACGGGGTTCTTGAGGATGCGCTTGGTTCGGAAGTCGTAGACGCGCCGGCAGAAGAAGATGCGGTCGGGAGCGACGCGAGCCGACGGCAGCATGCTGGCGCGCGGGTACTCGCCGGGGAACTCGGGAACCTCGCTCTGCTGCGGCGGGATGCCCTGCTGACACTGCGCTAGGAACTTTACGTACCTGTGGAAGGCGAGAGGGGAGGTTAGATTGAAACGCAAAGTTGGGGCTATACGGTTTGAAGCATTTGACAGATATTGGTGCTAGTACAGCAGATGAATATCACGATGATTATACGACAACTGACTGCCGGAAAAGCTAATTCTCGGCTGAGTTGTACCGGACTTCGTTTCCAAATCCACTCATTCCTTATCCTTTACCCCCACAGCCCTGAGCTCCGTCGAAAGTGCCAACCGTCCTCTAAAATATGCCCTCACCTGCAGTACTCGTTCCACGTCAGCACGAAACACTTGTCCTCGATGCACGCCACCGAATTTGTGTCGCGATGTTTGGAGGCAAACACCTCTGCCGGCGCGGCGCCCGGCAGCTGGCCGCACGGCACTTTGAACTCGTGACCGCCCGAGCTCCCGGCGTCGGAGGAGCCCTCTGCACGGCCCTCCTCCGGGCCGTCCTCGGCGTGGTCGGGCCGGTAGTACCAGAGGAGCGAAACCAACATCTCGTCTGGGGAGGGGTGGGGAAGGTCAGATCATGAACTGGTTCAACTGGCTGGCCCTGTTCTCAAAGCGACACTGAAGGCTCTCACGAAGCCCAGTGACCCTCAAGAACGGACTTTCTGTTCTTACTCGTATAACACTGAAATTTTAGGCTTAGCCACACTTTCAAGAAAGTGTCACAGGCTCAACCTAGCAAGTAGTCTGACAGCTCCTATTCGTCCACTTCCCATTTTCCCTCTTTCTTTCCATCTACTTACTGTCCTCAGGGTTCTGGAAGATGGCGGCCACCTTTCCGACGAAGGGCGGCTCGTCCTTGGAGCCCGAGGCCAGCAGGACGCAGTCCTTGAGGCGGATCTCGTCACCCTCCTGGTGGCGCATCGACGGGAAGCACAGCCGCTCCACCAGCTGGTTGTCGTTCTGGGGTACAGATGGACGACGTGGGGTCAGACACAATCGTGACTAACCGGCAGAGACAATGGCGTCGAGTTCCAAGTTAATGACTATCACGACAACTGAGAAACATCGCAAACAAACGACAAACGGGAACAGGAAATAGTAACGACTTTTGCATTATGTCAATTCTTTATTTGAAAGCGAGACGTTTTATGAAACAGATGATGCATTGCCGTCTTTAACGAGCTATACAAAGCACATAGGTAGTAGGTACCCACTAGTAGTGACAACTCTCCCCACCCTTTACAAGCAGTCCTCTCTTTCCATCCCAGTCTCCATTCTCCATCCATCCCCTTTCTTACCCTGAGCAGAATTTTCTTCATCTGTCCCTGTCCCTGGAAGGACCAGGCGTGACTCCAGCGCTGTCCGCCGGTGGGCCGCGGGATGGCCAGCGCCCGCTCTCCAGACGGCTGCCGCTCTCCCTTACGCCTCCTCTTGGTCTCGGTGTCGCCGGAGGGTCGCGGTTTGCGTCCTCTCCGCGGCACTGGCGGCGGGGGCGGAGCGGCCACTGGCTCCTCGCTGGGCATCAGGTCGGGAGAGATGGATTTCCGCGCCGTCAGACCCGGCACCACGCGGCGGGGTTTGACGCGCACAGCGTGTGGCGCTGGTGAGTCTGTGAGCCGCGGCGGCGGAGGTGGCGGTGTGCGCTTACTGCGGCCGCCGACGGTGTCAGTGGGGGTCCTCCGACACAGACTGGCCACGTCGACCAGAAGTCGATCACTACCAGACGCCTTCCGACGCGCCTCTTTGGTCGAGAGGCTGCCGTTGGAGGCGGCGCCGCTCGGCCGACGCGACCGTGACGATTTGCCGCTGCTCTCCGAGGTGCAGCTGCCGCTCTCGGAGGCCGAGCGGTCAGAGGTCGAACGGCGCTCACCCGTTACCACCTTCTTCGGCCGACCGCGCTTCTTCTGCTCCCCGTTAGTCACCTTCTGCTGCTGTGCTGTCTTCTCGCCGGCGCCTGTCGAAGCAGGCTTTGTTTTCGGCTTGGACGACACCTTTACACTCGACTCTGGCGTTTTCGTGACGGCATTCGTCTTGACTTCAGTTTTCACCTTCTTCGTCTCCATCTTGGCAGCGACCGTTTTGAAGACGGGCTTCATCTGAGGTTTGACGTCAGCCATCTTGATGCCTGGCTCGAGCTTTGCCTTCTTGGCGGCTGGCTCCTCTTTCACCTCAGCCTTGCGTTTGGGCGGCACGGTCGGTGCTCTCTTCTCGTCCCTCCGAGTCGGGATGAGAAGTGTGGCGGGCCGGTTGGCAGGCGGCGTCTGCTTACCCTCGGAACTAGCCGGTGATGTCTTCAGGCCGTTCCTCAGCGGCGCCGCTGTCTGAGGCATCCCATGAGCCGGCGTCGGGCGAGACACCTGCGCCGGTGTCTGGCGCGGCGTCTGAGTCTGGGCCGGCGTTTGCGTCTGAGCTGAAGCCTGCGTCTGCGTCTGGGCCGGGGCCGGAGCCACAGCCGGAGCCGGGGGCGGGTTCGGCAGCTCAACAATCTGCACTTGGTTCTCTGCCGGCACCACCTGAGTGCGGAACTCTGCACTCTGCACCACTAGCGTACTCGTGGTGACCATTGTGCGTGCCAGGCCGGCGAATGAGCGCGGCGGCAGCGGCCGGCGCTGTCGCGGCGGGCACTGCGGCATCGCGGCCACGGCCAGGTACGAGTGAGAGCCGGAGATGGGAGGTCTCCGGGGTGACTGAGTGGGCCGCGGGGCCGACACGGCCGGCGGAGGAGCGGCGGGGGCGACCGACCGCGGCGAGGACGCCGGCCGTGGACTGGGCGAGGCCTGCGAGACTGGAGGGGGTTCCTCGGACTGTGTGGGGACTGGGACAGGCGCTGCAGACACAGCGGGACTAACTGGGGACGGCGAGGGGACGACTGCGGCGGGGGATGGCGCGGCGGGTTGAGCGGGGGATTGTACTTGTTCTCGTGTCCTCGCTGGGGTCGGGACCTGAGCGGGGGAGGGTGCCGGCGGGGCGGACCGGGCCGGTTCTCTAGAGACCGGGGCGGGGGACGGGGAGGTGCTCCTCTCCGCGACTTGTACTGCTGTCTGTACCGGTGTCCGTGCCGGCGTCACTGGCTCGGACCTCGTCCCGCTGACCGCCGCGGGACCCGCCGGCCGGGCGGGCGTCGCGCCGCGGCCCGACGGCTGCTTCATCTGTCCGATCTCACAGATGACGGGTCCGTCATCCATGGCGGCCGGCGCGCTGGCCCGCTGCTGGGCCGACGTCACCGTGGCTGAGGGGACAGACACCGGGGAGACCCACTCGGCCGCAGGCTGCCAGATGGAGTAGCCCTGCAACACACAGCGACAGAGGGGAGGCCGTCAGCGACAGCCCAGGGATAGGGCGGCGCCACAGAGAGCGACGAAACAGGTGTCTACCGAAGCAACATGAACTGGTGGTTTCACCGGGCGGTTATGTTCCATATGGAACAATAATAGTCAATAGTCAACTCCATATGGAGTTGGCTATTGAAAAAGGAAAAAAACGAAATGTTACATAAAAAAGTTACAAAAATTGTTACATCATCGCAAAAAAGACAACGGGTGGAAGTCTGAATTGGTCGGACACAACTCACGAAACTAACAAAAACAAAAACCTAATAGGCAGAACTTGGACAGAGACCCACCGCGATGAACGAGCCCCAGGTCGCCGTTTGGCCTCTCACTCGGACCGCCGGTCAATGCCCTGTCTCCCCCACTCACCGTTCCGGCGCCGGTCCGGGCGGGTCCCCTGTCGGCTGACACGGGTCTCCTGTGAGCCGGCGGAGCCTGACCGGCCGGGTCGCTCTGTTTGGGGGGACCTGTTGGCGGACCTCCGGCTGACGGCGGCGGCTGACCGGGAGTCTGGGGACCGCCCTGCTCCGGTGCACCTGCGGCGATGGAGACACAGGTCAGGTCACATGTTAGGTCGCAGGTCGAGTTACAGGCCAGGTCAAATCGCAGGTCACATCAATGGTTGCAGGTCACAAGTCACGTTACTAGTCAGGACAGTTAGGTCAACTCAAAGGTCAGGTCACATGTCAGATTTCAGGTCAGACCATGGGTCAACCAGGAGATAGAAGGTCAGGTAGGTCAGGTAAAAAGTCAGGTCATATATACAGGCCACAAGTCAGTCCGCAGCTCAAGTCACAGGTCGGATCGGGTCAGTTTTAGCGTTATGATACACATCATTCACAATTCAAGTGGCAGACGCAGACGGGTCAGAGTGACGAGTGTCAACCTTCTGCCCTCCCTACAACACTGCCTACCTCAAACGAAATATGCCAGTTTCATTGACACCACGCCTCACATAAACAAACGCGGCCGCTCTGCAGAATCGCCACTGTGCCGCACGTTTTGGCAATCGACTCGCTGAATTCCACACACCATCATGTAGGCAACACAGCTTGCTTTGCGAGTAGTCAGAATCATTCCCAGACCGTGCAGCCGCTCCGGGCGCAGCCTGCCGCCCGACCTTCCCGCTCGCCGGTCATTTTGCCCCGCTCGCCGGTCCGTTTATACGCAGCGGCGCGCTGTGTCAGCTGACTGCAGCCCGTCATGGTCAGAGTTGACGGCCCGACACTGGCGGTCAGCTCTAGGGGATTGCACGGAGACGGGACGGGAGAGACTGCAAAGTGCACAGCGTGGAACGATTTCAGGAGGTAATTGAATGAAATCGGCGAATTGATAAAGGCGGAAAGTTATTCGCACTACTTATCAGACTGTCGGGCCCAACCCAATATCGGAATAACGTCGCTGGCAAGTTGATCTCATAGGAAACACGGATTATTGGGTCACTTGTCCTAAGGAGAGCTCTCCCTACAAGACTTCCAACGATCTGATAAAGGTGTTTCCCTTTCCCACTGCGCTGAGGAGCTCAGGAGGAGATGCAGGAAACTTTTCTCTGCTTTCCTGTACCGATCTAAGAGAAGCCGCCATTCGACTCAACACTCCACAGCCGGAGACGGCGTGCGCTGGCCGTTCATCGTGCCACGATCAGGCTCACGACGATCAATATAGCCGGCCGCGTGTTCCGCCCGGTCTGCCTGCCTGTCTGCCGGTCGGTCGGTCGGTCGGCCCGACTGCCGCCGGGCTGCCCCACGCGGCCCGGTCCGGCCGGCCGGCCGCTGCACTGAAAGCCGCTCGGCGGGCCGGCTCAGACACGGGCCTGGCAGAGGGCCCAGTCCGGACCGGCGCGACGGGACGGTCGAGCGGGGCCGATACACCGGTCGGGCGGCGAGCGATACGGTGGGGAGACGGACATCGGTACTTACATGGCAGCAGTCCCCCTATGCAAGTTTGACCACCTGAGCCGCCATCAGACAGAGGAGACACCGGTGGGACAGCTAACGATCAGACGGCGAGACAGACACGAGAACAGGGCAGCAGTATCCCCCATGTCAGGCACCAGGTCACAGTCTCCTGATTCACGTATGACCACCTGGGCCGCCATCAGACAGAGGAGACACCGGTGGGACGGCGTGGCGAGACGGAGGCCAGAGCAGAGCAACAGTCTCCCCATGCAAGTATAGTCGCCGCAGCCGATGTCAGACAGTGGAGAAGGCAGTGCAGCTATAACTACTCCTCAATGCATACTCAGGCCAGCTACGGCTATTGCGCGTCTTCCTAGCATACACTCAGCCCAATTATTTCGTATCCGCATCATACCAGCCCGGCTTACGTCTTCCCATCGTACGGAGTACCTATATCCAGCCCAGCTACCCTTTCCGAATCAAATACCAGCCCGGCCAATGTCTCCATGTATTATATACTCAGAACGTCTCGAGTCTTCCACCATACCGTCCCGGCTATTTCGTCTCAACCTCACACCGTCCCCAGCCTATTTCGTCTCCACATCATATCATCCCAGCTAGTTCACCTCCTCATCCTGACATCCCGGCTCCATTGCAAACCATTTCGTCTCCACATCATATCATCCCAGCTAGTTCACCTCCTCATCCTGACATCCCGGCTCCATTGCAAACCATTTCGTCTCCACATCATATCATCCCAGCTAGTTCACCTCCTCATCCTGACATCCCGGCTCCACAGCAAACCATTTCGTCTCCACATCATATCATCCCAGCTAATTCACCTCATTCTGACATCCCGGCTCCATAGCATACTATTTCGTCTATTTCGTCTTCGCTCATACACCATCCCGGCTACTTTGTTTCTGCCTAATACCAGCACAACTCCTTCAGCATCCAAACACACCACCGTCTCACCTCTATCCCCCCCCCCCCCGGCTCTCCATCCGGTGAGCCGCACCGATGAATATGCTAATTAGTACACGCACAAATGACGGTGTCGGCCCGTTCCTGCGGCACCCAGGGATCGGCGCGTGGAGAGCGGTCCAACGCCTGTTTGCAACTTCGGCACGTTCGTTCGTTCTCCGACAAAACGCTGCCCAGCATGTATAATGCATAGGATGCAATATCATACAAATGCTGTGTTTAACAAGATAAACACAGAAAAGGTGTGGTGATATACACCGTTCGGCTTTAAAACGGAACCGATAAAACGACAAGCAAAGGCTGGGATGGATGCTAAACGGCACGAGTAAAATACTTTGATATTCATCATTTTAAAGTCAAACGTGCAACTAGGTCCAGTTTTTACTTATATTTACCTTGACTGCTGTCAATAAAAAGATAAATTAAATATTCACATTTATATGGGCCACCATGAAATATTCTTTCTTAATTCTTTTGCTATCTTTATATTGTTGTATTCTTTTGCTTTCCACTTTGACGACACCATATCTTAGTGACAAAGCATCTCGATGCTAAGTGATAACGACAGTTTATCTGGTCAGCCTGAACATCTCCTGTCCAGGAATGTCAAAAGCCGATCAGATAAGCATTGGAAACGAGAAAAGATAAAGGGGAATCACATAGGCAAGTGAAGGCAACAACATGTTAATAATTGCACAGCGTTAATAATTGCATGACACCCAAGACCATCTAAATGTAATAAATCTTATGAGAGGCAAATATATGCAATATACCTCCTTATGAGAGGCATGAGTAGACGACGTTCTTATCCACACCAAACCAGTTTGGTAATTGGGCTGACGGCACCTTCCGACGGGAGCGGGAGAGGGTTGAGGATTATGACCGTCGGGAGAGTGAAAGGGGCGCTGAATGGACCTCCACGCTGGCCGCCGGAACGGGCCCCGCGGGGGCGCCCGACACCCGCGGCGCCACTGGCTGCCGACGGCTGAAGGCGGGAGGTGAGCAGGGCCGCCGACGCCGTCATCGCTGCAGCGAAGGCGTTATAGCCTCCCGACGTACCGTAGCACATACCAGTGTATGAGTCATGGAAGCGGAACAGACCGATTTTCTTGGGAATGAATTTAACTTCCTTATAATATAGGTAGATGAGCGAGGTTCTTAAAAGGCGCAGAACGCATATGATGGAGATGTGCAGGGTAGTACCTATGAATCAGATAAGTTTCCAGCATAATGGTGCTTGTGTTATGTTTGCTTGCATAAAAAAGCATTGTGTATGCTGCAGAATGTTTGGCGTATCTTTACCAGATTGAGGAATGCCGCCCATCGTTTCAGTCGACGTTCGAAACAGTCGATACAGAATCGTTTGGCCGTCCGACACAGCCGCGCAGTATCTGCGTCGGTGTTTGTGGTCCCTCAGCCAACTCGACACTAAAGTTCCCGCTAACTCGCCTGAAAGCGGCACTCTCGGCTCTCAATCTCAGACGAGAGCTCGAGCAGAAATATGACGCCACTCGGGGTTTATGAGCGCAGGGGCTAATGGGATAATTTGGGGCCGCATATGGGGCGATGGCTGCTCCCCGATTATAATCGCCCACCATGACCGTCCGGCCACAAAGTAGCGATGGCATACATTCCACTGGAACGTCAGCAATGGTAACAACGTTTATAAATATGAAACCTCAAATCCATAACAGGTATTTTCAACTTTGAGTGATCTGAGTAGACCCAACAATTGCAGCCTACATCTCATCAACGAAAAAAGCTGCGAAATCGGAATGAAGCGATAGTGTTACGCGATGGTTGAAATGACATTTCAGGATCGAAAGTCAGGCAGCCAAGCAGGATCGCACACAAGTCTGAAGATAAATAAATCAAATCACGCAGTGCCATAAGCGTTTTCCACTCTTCCGAACAACTTTTACAATATATCTTTGCAAGTTAACCCGGCAGGCGGTGGGCCTACCAGCCACCTTCCGCGCGGTGGGGGGGGGGGGCATTTTTTTCCCCCCCCGTATCTCCGAAACTAGTGGACGGATCCGGAAAATTCAAACGGCGTTCGATAGCCCTGTCAAATTTGTCGCGAGAAACCAAATTTCATTGACCTCGGAGTCACCGATGACGTCACAGGTCAGGTCAAAGATAAAATGTTTCACCGTTCACGGGGCTTCTAGGGAAAGCGCTATAACACCGAGTAAAACGCATTTTGTCGAAAATCAGCGATAAGGCGTCAGTTGTCTAGTACATATGTTGCTATTAGAGGTCACTGGTCATACCAGGTCAGGTAACAGGTCAGGTCACCAAAGGTCACCAAGGGTCACCACTCACCACATGAGCCCAACTTTACTAAGGTTATGTGATGCATGTTTTATAGCCAGTTTTTCATTTCCAACTCAATGGTGTTGGTTATAAGACCATCAGGTACGGTTTAGGTCACTTTCTGGTGGAGGTCAGGTCAAGGTCAGGTCAAAAAGGTCAAATTTCAAAGTTGATATTTTTGCATAAATGGGTGTCGATTCGATGCAGCTCGTCACGGGGAGTCTAATGTTGGTCTTTGTTATGCACTACGAGGTCTAGAATTGCAAAAATTGAGTTTGAAAATTTGACGTCATCAATTTTGAACAGTTTTTTCGCTATAACTTGGTCAAAAAAAGAGG